GTGAACGGCGTGAAAGACGTCGGCATTATTGTATATCGTATATTTTTATTTTCTTAAGTTTTCTTATTATTAGAAGACGTGTCACCCACGCATCGATATGCTGTTTTACAAAAAAGACATATATTAGTGACTTACATAAATTTAAAAAAAAAATTAATCAAATTGAAATATAAGAAAAATAAGACTTACCCCCCCATCGAAATAGCCATTGTCTTCGACCCCTAATAATACGCCCCACCAAGGCCGTTCAAGCAACAAAAAGATATCATCGGTGAGCTTGCATATGTCAGTGAAACACCCCTTGCTCCGCTCATGTAGATAAAAATCAACTGCAGTCTTAGCCCAAAGGGTGTTATCCAAAATTGTGTCCGGTAGTTGTTCCCTCTCCTCTTCAGATACCGGTATGGTACTGGCCGGTAACTCATACGAGAGCCAACTTGAATCCATCATGTCCGGCACGACAGAGGGTTTCTCAAGAAGCCTACATATGACGCCATGTGAATCGGGCTCTTGAATGGTGGGAGGGACCTCTTCAATGATGACAGTGGCCTCTTGAACGGTGGGAGGGGACTCTCGAGGAATGATATGGGGGGCCTCTTCAACGATAGGAGTGGACTCTTGAGGGATGACAGGCGAGTCGGGCTTCTTCTTGCGGTGTCTTCGCACTATTGGGGTGTACGGAGACTTAATAGCACGTGCACGCTGTCTGATGCGTGAACTCCGTCGTGCAAGCATAACCCGACGTAAAGCATCCACTCTATCGGGCCGCTAAATAATTAAATACAAAAATCAGTAAATAAACAGACATGATATTTAAACAGTGAAAACAAAGACAAATATGTTTCAAACTTGCATGTATTCACCCAAGTCATTATTCTATCATAGTTCACAAAATGCATCAGATAACAAAGAAAATATGTTTCAAACTAATACCCTGAAGTTAGTATTTGTTTTGTCTATTGGTTGAAGTAAATTTATCCATTCAAGTTTCAATTTGCAGAAGAAGAAATAGTTTACTTTCGCAACACGAAACTTAAAATCGCAACGCGAAACCAAAATCGCAACGCGAAATGAAAATCGCAACGACAGAATCGCAATGCGAAACCAAAATCGCAACGAAAGAATCGCAACGCGAAATGAAAATCGCAATGCGATTTTGGTTTCGCGTTGCGATCTTGTCGTTGCGATTTTGGTTTCGCGTTGCGATTCTGTCGTTGCGATTTTCATTTCGCGTTGCGATTTTGGTTTCGCGTTGCGATTTTAAGTTTCGTGTTGCGAAAGTAAACTATTTCTTCTTCTGCAAATTGAAACTTGAATGGATAAATTTACTTTCAACCAAAAGACAAAACAAAGACAAATACTATTTCACAGTGTTAAAGAATACACAGTTTAGCAGAATTGGCAGCAACCGAACAAATTTACTTTCAACCAAAAGACAAAACAAAGACAAATATATTTCACAGTGTTAAAGAATACACAGTTTAGCAGAATTGGCAGCAACCGAACAAATTTACTTTCAACCAAAAGACAAAACAAAGACAAATATATTTCACAGTGTTAAAGAATACACAGTTTAGCAGAATTGGCAGCAACCGAACAAATTTACTTTCAACCAAAAGACAAAACAAAGACAAATACTATTTCACAGTGTTAAAGAATACACAGTTTAGCAGAATTGGCAGCAACCGAATAAATTTACTAAGCAATCTAAGTGAAATGGCTAATCTAAGTGAAATTACGAGTAAATTTATCATTAAGTTAAATATGGAAAATCTTAAACTTACCTCGTTGCGTAGAGTATGAACCTCATTCTGCAACGATACTATCATCTCACGTAGAGCGGCAACCTCACCACGTAAAGTTGACACCTCCACACGCCATGCACCATCGTTATCGCGTAGAGTACCGATCTCCTCACGCAAGGCATTGACCTCATCACGTAACTCCCTTGACTCATCCCGTTGAGGTGGAGGTGGAGAACAGGGAGATAGGAGTCGTGGCATCTTTGCCGGTCGCCTATCATGAGGTGATGGTGGAGAAGAGGCTCGATGATGTGACGGGATAGGTGATGGCTCTCGTTCTAGAGGTGTATAGTCGTCACGATCGGGTGATGGCTCTAGGTGAGGTGATGGCTCTCGAATTGGAGGAAGTGGATGCTGCTCATCATCCGTGCCATCAAAAAAACTCTGACTAGCTTGCCACCAATCAGTGGCAAGCTCTTCCTCCGTGGGTGACAGTCTTTGTAATGGAATGTTGGCCTCCTAAAATATAAACTCAAACAAAGTTAAACGTCTACTATTAATAACTTGTTTATATATTATATGAAAGTATTTGTGTTAACTTACATTATTTATTGTGGCATATGGTATTAAGTCTTCCCAATCCAACAGAGTTTTCCTCTTCCAGGAAATAGCCCTGGGAATATCATTTGACGTTTTTATTGCATATGTACGCATGCTAGGGAAAGCCTCGAATATCCAAATCTACAAACAATATAATAACAAAATTAGTAATTGTTAAATAATTAATTATAATTTTAGAAACATTATATAGAAATTCTTACCTTAAAGGCCCAAACAAAGCCTGACAAAGTGTATTTGGACCCATCGCCCCGCAAACTTTTGCGGTCATCAAAGGCAGACGACAACTTAGTCCAGGTAGCTTTCCATATATACGAACCCCACGGAAACAGATTCCATGCATTCAGGTCCTCTACCAATATTATTAGCTCCCGATGAATAGGTTGTCTGGCCTCTCTGCCTAAAAAGCCGGCATACACAAGTAGTAGAAGGCATACTCGGACAACATCGACGTCTTCCATCCGAGTGAAACCAGCTTTCTTATTAAATAATTTCTTCAGGTCGTCGACATGTAGGTTCGGCTTCTCCATTGACTCATCCGGAAAAACCCGGGATAACCATGATGGGCGGGCGATATGACGAGTGTACCGGCCTACATCATCGTGTCCGAATCGTAGACCAGTGATTAAGCAGAACTCCTTCCGCCCAAAGCAAGTATACGCTGGTGGAAAATGAAACCATATCTCTTCCTCACCACGTTGTATACTGTCGGGTAGATTTGATGTCATGGTCTGAAGCCACAAATGGGTCAAATTAGCATCTCCACCCGGATGCTGTACTCTCAGCCATGGCCCGAAGCAGGTTTCCTCAAACAATTGTCTTTGAGCAGGTGAAAGCTTCTTTGCAATTGTAGTGGCCAGGCTGACTTTATTTCTCAAGGTCAATTGAGCCGAAAAAAATTTCTACAAAAACAATAAACATACCAAGTTAGATATACCAAAAACTACACTGTGAAGATATACCAAAAACAATAAACATAAAAAGTAGTAGTTTATTCTTGAAACTAAAATTTGCAACACTGTTTTGTCTTTTGGTTGAAATGAAAATCGCAACGAGAGAATCGCAACGCGAGATGACAATCGCAACGAGAGAATCGCAACGCGAAATGAAAATCGCAACGAGAGAATCGCAACGCGAAATGAAAATCGCAACGAGAGAATCGCAACGCGAAATGAAAATCGCAATGCGATTTTGGTTTCGCGTTGCGATTCTCTCGTTGCGATTTTCATTTCGCGTTGCGATTCTCTCGTTGCGACAGTCATTCTCTCGTTGCGATTTTCATTTATCTCGTTGCGACTCTTCTGCAAATTGAAACTTGAATGGATTGCATTACTTCAACCAAAAGACAGAACAAAGACAAAGACAAATACTAACTTGAAAATCGCAACGAGAGAATAGCAACGCGAAATGAAAATCGCAACGAGAGAATCTTAACGCGAAATGAAATCTAAGTGAAATGCTTAATCTATTATTGAAATGACCAGTAAACTTATCATCAGTTTCAATATGAAAAACCTACAATAATGCAAACATTTCAAAATAAAAATAATTAAAAAAACTAACCCTCGGAGGTTGATTTTCCATTTCTGAATATTGTGAGGGATTTCTGACCGTGAATGGTTGTGAGGGATTTCGCCGGAGATGGGGACGGAAATCTTCGGAGATGGGGACGGATTTCTTCGCCGTAGAGAGTGAGAGATGGAGATGGGACTGAGTTGTGATTTTAGGTTTTAGGTTATGAGTTGCGATTACGGGATTTTGTCTTAATATTCTTTTTGTAATTTGAAAATAAAATACGCGTAGCGATTATAATGGCGCTTTAAATATCGCGTTGCGATTTACGGATACGCGTTGCGATTTTATGTATTATCGTTGCGATTTACGGATACGCGTTGCGATATACGGATACGCATTGCGATTTACCCATACGCGTTGCGATTTTACGGATACACGTTGCGATTTACGGATACGCGTTGCGATTTATGTGTTCGCGTTGCGATTTTCATATTCGCGTTGCGATTATTGAAAATCGCAATGCGAATTTGTACTATCGCATCGCGATTTTCAAGAATCGCGTTGCGATTTTGGAAACTGATTTGCGATTCTGGGGATCGCGTTGCGATTTTTATTTCGCGTTGCGATTTTGTTGGTCATTTTGGCAAATCCAAAAAAAGTTGGTTAAAATCGTATATTATAACTTTTTTTTGGTCACTGAGGCGATTTTCTCTTATTTTATTGTGTGTTATTTTGCTTCCAATAAAGCAAAGAGTGATGAGCTGCTAAAATTCATCCCAATAGACCGATGGGCATCATCGATGACTCTATCTATAACAATCCATGCATATTAGTAGTTTTCTTGTCCCCTAGAATTATGGATAGTCATTTTATCTTAATCTAATAAATTCCGACTCAAATTTGATTTGATTAAATATATTATTTTTTAAATTTTAAATTTGAATCGAGTTAAATTCTTTTCTGAAGGATGAGATCGGATTAAGAGAAAATCTTATAAGTGAACGTACTTAATAAAACTGTGAACTCGAAACATCAAGTAATAACAACAATTCCTTTATCACTAAGGTGACTTGGGAACACAGGTGGCAAGAAAACACTAACAAAATCTTTAATCTTGGAACGCAGGTGGCAAGAGTCGGTGAGTTTGGATTAGGAGAAGGAGTGGACGGCTCAGGTGTTTCAACCATCTTTCTCACCTGCAACTGTTCCATCGGGCTGCTCGTAGAAAACAAATCAAAGCTCTTCGGTCTCCATATCCATTCTCCGACGATCGACATATCCTTCGGCCGCCTGCCTTTGGCCATCTCACACGTACGTAACCAACTGCACAACCATGACCATTCCCATTGTGTTTCGCTTTATTTTCATTACTTGGATTGCAGGGACCAAAGCTATACGCTCAAACCTGGGGCTCATCGAGATTTGAAGTCTACATTGGAACAAAGAACAAACCAATGTACGGTGCCGGTAGGAGCATGCAGGACTTGCTGGATTCGGGGATGGGGTTGCCGCTACTGATTCGTTTGAAGCTGAGATCAAATTATCGAGTCGTATGGAACCTTATAAAGCCGAGGTTCCATCACCAAGCTGACTGTTTATTACTCCTCGACAACAAATACGACAAGAAACACCATACCCAAAAATACAACAGCACCTGCACCATTACTTCATAGAACCCTATTCTGCCCTGCCCCCACCTGCCGGCTTGTCTCAAAAGCAAAGAAAATCAGCCTTTCAACCCAATTTTCTTCTCCATTCCCAGGGTTTGGTTTTGATTATCAGAACTAAAAAGCATAGCATTCTATCAACTACTTGTGTATCTATTGACACAATGTTGAATCTTTTGCTATAAAAACAGTATAAACTTTTTATAAATACAAAATTGTACGATACGATTATACTGGCACTTCATATATCGCTACATAATAGTAATTGGAACGTATCGTTTTTATTTTAACAATGATGTGTGTTTCCTCCACACACAAAAAATGGTGTTGTCGGTACCATTATGTTCTGGTTTATCATTTTGATATCATCAATGTTTTCAAAATTTTCTTTAGGTATTAGGTTTAATACACTTTTAATTACCTAAATTATAATCTAAATAGACTTTTGGTGCCTAAATTTTTTATTACTAAAAATATCTGTATAATATTTTCTCCGTTAAACTTTTATGTGTCAATCGCTATATTTTTTAAAAATTTTAATAATAAAAATATTATTTTTAAAATATAAAATAAAAAAATAAACCCCAATCCCACATCATGACCTCTCTCCCCTGCCGCCATCCGTCAACCACCCTTCATCAGTTGTCTGTGGTGTGTACTGTCGTCACCCTTGAGTTCGCCGTCATCTCATGACCAAACCCCAAACATTATCTTTCACCCACGTCGATCGTCGTTCATCAGAAAGCCGTTAGAAGTCATGTCGTCCTCTCTATCTCCGATCGGTGCAATCACCCATTTTTTTGAGACAATCGTTGCTTGAATCATGGTGTTCGGGTGATCGAGTGTCGTTGAGATTTCAGCTTAATGGAGGTGGTAGCAGCCGATGGTGATGAGGAGATTGAAATTAGGGGTTTTCGGCATTTTGGGTTTTTTTATAATTTCAAAAAAAATTGGGTTTTTTTAATTAAAAACAATAATTTTATCTTTTATAAATATTTTTTTTGAAATTTCATACGGATGACACGTGTCAGATAACAGTAAAATTTAACGACCGTTACGGTCCAGGCAAATATAATGTTGGATATTCTAGATACCTATTTTTAACGAAAAATTCTTTAGGTACTAAAATTCAATTTGGAGTATAATTTAGGCACTTAAAATTGTATTAAGTCTAGGTATTATAATAATATTTTTAGTTCCTTATATATTGTATTATGCGCAAATACATTCAAATTACATAGCTTACATATAAAGATTCAATTTTTGACAACATAATATTACTAATATGAATTTTGAGATATTACAAAAATGACGAACACAGTAAGATGACAATGTCTTCATCTTATTTTCATTTTCCTTCCGTTTAAGATAAACAAATATTAGTCATCTTTTTTTTCCCCTTCAAGTAAGTCTCTTTTGGATGAATTATCCTTTAAAGACTCATCTTTTCTTTTCTTTTAATTCATTAATAAATTTCTAAATAATATTCAAATTGCTCGATCAAATTTTCAAATACAGTCAATTCAATATCGAATTAGGTTCATTTAGGAAAAATATTTAATGGGAGACCAACAATTCAACTTTTTTAATCTTAACATCGTCACAGGTTGAACTCTGACATAAAAGATATAGGGATGCTACTATTAATCTCAACCATTGATTTTCTCTCATCTAACGATAATAAAAAAGTTTTTACATTATGTAATTGGATCCTAACCCATACACACATTAATAAGTTGTACACCAATTTATAGCAATTATATTGAAATAAATAGATGACTTAGATTCAATTAAAATTTATAACCCATAAATAAATAATTCTTTAACTCATAGTAAAACAATGTTTTTTTCTTTTTAGGATTAGGGTTTAAGATTTAAGGTTTATGATATAGGGTTTATGATTTATGATTCAGGGTATGTGGTATAGGTTTTTAAGAGAGTTTGAGATTTGGAATTGAGTCAAAAAGATATATTGTTTTACTGTGAGTATTTATTTGTAGTTATAAAATTTTAATTAAATCTAAATCATGTATTTACATAAATCCAATGGCTATAAATTAGTGTAAAACTTATTAATTTTACGTAGTGTAAGCGGATTTTGCTTATATATATAATTTTTTTGTTGTTTTTGCATTGTTTATGTTTAAATTATGTCACATCGTTTTTATCTAATTTTAACTCATGATTGATTATAATTATGTAAGTTCGATTTTAAATTTATTTATCTAAAATTATTAAAATATAAAATAATTATATAATATAATTGTATTCTTTTATTATAATTAATTATCTACCCCCTCCCCCCTTTGGATTAAAAAATTATCTATAATTCCCTTGCGTAATGGGATACCAAATCTAGTATATATATTAAACTATAAACAGGAAAAACCTGAAGACAAAAACATTCTCCCAATAACTCCAGTAAAGGGGATAGTTACAGAAGTATTTATATATTGGCATTAGTCGTAAATTAATGAACATATTGAAAGAATATGGAGGAAAATACAAATAGCAAGCAGGAAATATATTATTATTGTTGGTCCCAGGACCAAATCCTAACAAAAGTTGGTCTGCCTTTTGAATATTCCCACTTGACTCGGACTGTATTCCGGCTCATATTGGTTGACGACTTAAATAACTTAGGGGTTGTTTGTTTACTTCAAAATGATTAAGCGATGAATGATTCAAATACTGAATGATTCAGAGACTCTATATGAATTAGATCTGAATGTGACATGCTGTTTGATAATAGCTCTGAATCATTCAGAATGTACTTCTGTGTTGAATCATTCAGCATTATTTTGCTAAATCAGTCAGAGGTGAGAAACAAACGCGTTGAATGTTGAACGGTTCAGCATTCAACGCTGAATGGTTCCATTCAGAGCCAAACAAACAGCCCCTTAATGCCCTATTGTTTTCATTTTACTTTTTTGTATAACCACGATATTCGATATATTAATCAATTAATCTAATTTGAATAATATAGAGATTCAATACGGGACGATCTTTTCAATTCAATTTATTTCACTCATAAAAAAAACCCTAGTCGTCTCTCCTTTCTTTCAACCTAATTTTCTTTTAATATTTTTATGTCGTCTTCTTTTTTTTATTTGATCTTTATATAACTGACTCCGGCACCAATCTTAATGTTGGTTGCTGACCACCAGGTAATATTAGTTCTCTTTTTTTTATTTTATGTCTTTAATATTTTTTTTCTTTAGTCTTTTAAATTTTGAATAAGAATCTATGTCCTCGTGACATGTTTTTCCTTGCTCTTATGGCAAGCGTTTCCTCTGCTCTTAAGGCGCAATCCTTATGGTTAGTCGGTGGTCACGTATAGTCAGATCATCTCTTTTGATAAAAGATTGTTTGTCGATGTAATCAGAATTGTATAGCGAAGCAGCCTGCCATATTTCCACCCTTTTATCACTTTATCAAGCGTCTCATTCGACAGAGACAATAGTTTGTATGAAGGTTATTGGGTTTTGATATTGGTCATCATTCTCAATAGAATGTTTTAATTTTCTTCGTATATTAAGGTTTACTATTTACTTTTGTAAGAGTATTTTGATGACTATTATCTCCAAATTTATCTCTTTATTCCGATGAATTGTAATTTTGATTCCTTTCATTATTAATAAAATTCAATTGTCATTGTCAAAAAAATATCATTTCACTCGTAAACGTTAAGATTCAAACAATTAATCTTTCTGAAGGAATCTAATTACCCATCTCATTATACCAACAAATTGATTAATAATTTTAGCATTCTTTTTAGTATATACACACGCACCTAGGAATCCTGCTGGCCATAACAAATTTAGCCAACTGGATACATATTACAAAATACATATGCATAGCACTAGGAAAAATGGCAACATGAGATTTTAAAATTAATTTGTTAGGAAGCATATATATATATATATATATATATAGCATGGCAACATTTCCATTAGTATATGATAAAATCTGGTCACTGAAAACGATGTCGTGGTAAGGCGAAATTTGGAATTTCATGTTTAAATTATAAATATTTGGGATTAGAACATAATTTTATCATGTTTTGGGAGAAATAAAAACAATGTTTTTTTAATTAATTAATTTAATTGTTTGGAGAAATAAAAAAATATCAAAAACCCTACTTGATCCTCAACCCCTCTTCTAATCAAATATAAGTCCCCGAGCAAACTGGTCTAAATGAGATTTGAAAAAAATAAAATTATCTTCAGGATTGCTACGTAGTTCTATTGTAGCATATGTTTTGTTTTAATTGGAATAAAATTCATGCACATATTTTGGACGATACTAGGATGGTAATTTAACCTGAATTGGACGGGTTTCGACTCGACCCGACTTGATATGATAGGATTTTTTTAAAAAAAAAATTGGGTTTAGGTCGGATTGGATTTTTTAAGGGATGAGGTCGGGCCGGGTCGGGTGGAGGGTGAGAAAACTCTGACTCTACCCAACCCGAGGATAATAATATAATTTCCTTAAAAAATATTTTTTTAATTAAATCCTTATTTTATATTGTGTCGGGTTGGATTTATACTCTAAAAATTCGGATCGGGTCGGAATCGATTGGAGGATATATATTTCTCGGGTCGAGTCAAATCGAATATATAAAATTTTTCGGTCTGATCAGATCCGAGTGGAGGATACATATTCTCAAATCAGGTCGAGTTAACCAAATACTCGACTCTAACCCGATCCGTTACCATTCCTAGACAACACTATCGAAATCCGGATCATTTAGAGAAAACATGTCATCATTTACCACTGCAATTATTTCTTAAATATCATGTGGAGTGTTATAATAATTTATCTATAGAGATGGGGCGAGCAACACCTGTGAACCGGAAGTCGTGTAGTCTTGAAAGGCATATCACCACTCCCGGCACTACGGGTGCACTAAGTCGATTTAAAATACACATTTCTTCGCTATTGGGTTCCATCTTTTTCTAAATTTCTTTGAATATTTGGCAAAAGCATGCAGCTATGGGGCATTAATGCATGTATAATATGACGACACTTGGGCAAAATGGGTCATTTTCCATATTGATTATATAATATATGCTGTAACGTGAATCAACTGCGCTTATATGCTTGTGCCAATTTATACATAGTGTACATATAAAATAATAATTTATAAGGATATTCTCTTTAAGCAAAAAAGAAGAAGAAAAGAAGGTGGGTAAGTGGGTGAGTAGAGGGGCACGACAGCTTTCATATCATGAGCTGGAATGCATGGGAATATAATATATGGTTTCCGCACCACGTCGAAATCAAATCCTCTTTGTTTATTCCGTTTAGGCGTGCCCATTTCGTGTCTTCCACACGAAAGTGTCTCCCCACTCTAATTATGGTGTGTTTCGGTTTAATTACTTGTTTGATCCTTGTACCATAGGGGCAATCTAATTTATGTACATTTAACTTTTTGAAGTAAATGGGACTGAAACCGGAGATTGTTTATTGAGAAGGCCGAGTTTGAATTGTAATTTTTTTAAGAGGGTCAAATTTATCTATTAAGTTAATAATATGAAATTAGGAGAGGATGATACCAGAATTCAAGATGCTGCTAAGGAAATTGAAGAGGACAAAAATGGACAGGAGTGAAAAATATAAATGAACTTGTTATTAACATAATAACTACTAGGGTTGTAAATGAGACGAGACAAATCGCGAGCTACTCGAGATCGACAAAGCTCGATAAATATTCAATTCGAATGGACTCGACTCGAGCTCGAGCTCGACTTGAGTTCCTAACGAGCCGAAACAGCTACTTGATACTCGACTCGAAAAACTCATGAACAACTCGAAAATATAATATAATATATTATGATTTTATTTTTTAAGATAAATTATTAATAATATTAATATTTATGTGTTGATTTTTAAAAAAATGCATTATAAGGCTTTCATATATTTAAGGTTCATGTTCGAGTTTGAGTTTTAGGCCTCAACCGAGTTAAGTTTAAGCTTTTTTTCATTTTGAGTTTTTTTAGCTTCAATTCATGATTTCGAGTTCGAGTCGAGCTTGAATCAATTCATAATTTCAATTTCGAGTCAAGCTTGAAAATTTTAGGCTCGCGAGTTTTCGAGTCGAGTAAAACTCTATTTCAGAGTTTTCGAGTTAAGCTCAGTAATACTCGACCTCGACTCGACTCATTCACAACCTTAATAACGACATGATACGAGGCTCATCCCAAATGATGTGGGGTCTCTATGCTACTTTTAAAAATAACGTCCATAAAATATTTTATAATAAATATTAATTTGTCAAATTTAAAATTACGAGGGCTTTACAAGATTTTTTTTACCAAAATTCATCATGGAAAATGATTAAACATATCGTCAAAATCTTCGTTTACAACTCACTCTGTCATTTTATCGAGAATCAAACGAAAAATTTAATTTTCCCTGAACGTAATTATTGTTAGGGCACAAATATTAAGCGTGGGCGGGCCTAAATAGCATTCATGTGTGGACCCCTAAATTTTGGGATTATATAACGGATCACATTCTACGCTTGTCATTAGAAGGGCTTGTGTGAAAATATGCATTACTTGGGGACCCTACATTTGATTTTGTGAAGGGTTATAGTTCTCTCGAAATCAAAGATCCGTTGAAATTAACAACTGTACTTGTGGTACGTACCCCCATTCCTCCCTCGTCCCCGGCGTGTGAGTGCGGTGGTGGGGATTTGAGTTTTGCTAATCTGCTATGTCCAATAAGCAAATTATGACATTGCAACTATACAAAGTAATGAGCAAAGAATTGACTTCTTTTAATATATACTTTGGATTTTTTTTCCTTCTCCTACATAAAAATAAATAAAAGAGCTATAAAATGATGGTATAGCAAAGCATGTTCAATATATGACTTTGTAAAATTTAATTTTCATTACATCCGATCTTAATTTTAATTAAACCGAATTAAGAGTGTTATATGAAATATGTTTATTTTGATTGCAATCACCTTTTGACATGATTTTTTTACAAATAGCGATTCGAGACAACAATAAAATAAAATAAAAATTTTATTAGTAAAAAAAAGAGATTTACTTTAGAGTAAAGAACCAGAATAATAAACTGGAAACGAGTTGAGGCCTGCAAGTAAATAGTTTCCTTAAGACAGATTTTCGATCACTCCATGATACACGAGATATTTTGGTTGCCTGTCTCCCAAGATACAAGAACGATATGATCAGTGCACAACAACACAACTTGTGAGAGTAGGAACCAAATCTTGCTAGAGGCTATATCAAAAACAAGAGAAGAGGAAAATAAATTGTTTTGAATTTTTTTTCCTCAAGTCAATCCTCAAAGGGCCCACATCATGCGAGTGCACCCCCAACCCCGATGGGTTCAACGAGCTTTAATTTGCACTCCACATGTGCCTGCGTGTGAGACACAATTTCAAGCAAAGTCATTTAATAACTAGTAGGGTTTGCGTATATAAATCATATCCTTACACAACACAATTTACATTTACCCTACTTTGAGCATCAATTTCTCATTATAACTCAATTGTTTTGAGCATATAAGATATCATTGTAAAGATCTCACGGAGTAAAATATGAATCAGTAAATTCATTATTCGATTCTCCATCTTTACACTTAAAAAATAAGCCCCAAAGTTCCCAATTTATCACATTTTCCCAACAGATAGTAAATATGCTTTGGAGTAATCAAAATTTACAAAACTACTTCAAACATGTGATTTTTCTATAGGGAATTGATATCTTGCATGATTTTGTAAACCGAAATTTTCTTCTTTATGAAGTTAAGATGATTAAAAGTAGTATATGTTCTAAACACTTTCAATTATTTAATAATGAACACTCAATCACCCTATTACAGTCGTTAGTGCTCGAACCCATGACCTCTAGGAATTAATACTTATCTTAGGATATGGATACCTATATTCAAATTTTGTTAAACAGCAATTTGATTTTTGGGGTGTGTTATATTTCAATCATATACCCCTAATTATTTGTATTATGATCAATATAGTCCTTGTTATCAATATTAGGCTCAATTTTTTAACCCATTTTTATTTTATTATCCGATTGTGACATCACTTATTAACAAGTAGGTGGGGGCGGTCCCTATTAGGGATGGCAACGGGCCGAGTTCGGGCCAGGTATTGGTCCCCCCGTCCCCGTCCCCGTTTAAAAAACCGATACCCGTCCCTGTTTAAAAAACCGTGGGGATTTAAACGGGGATCCCCGTCGGGTAATCGGGGAAAACCGCGGGGAAACGGGTATCCCCGTTTAGCACAAACGATTATTTAAACGGGTATTGGGCCAGGTATTGGGTCGGGTATTGGGTCGGTATTGGGCTGGGAATCGGGCCAGGTATATATATATATATTTAAATTAAATATATATTTTTTTATTTAAATTAAATTTATTAATATTATATATATATATATATATATATATATATATATATAATTATTTTTAATATTTATCGGGTCGGGTATCGGGGCGGGTAATCGGGTAATCGGGGCGGGGATTACCAAACCCGTCCCCGTCCTCGTTTAAAATAAATGGGTTTTCCCCGTCCCCGTCCCCGTTTATCATCCTCGAACCCGACCCGTTTAATTCGGTTTTCGGTTTTCCCCGTCGGGTTCGAGTTTTTTTGCCATCCCTAGTCCCTACTTCAAAATTTTTATTGAAAAGTATATAGAAATATTATTGGCATAAATAGCTATTCGGACTCCTAATTTCGATTTATTTAAACCTTATGACCCACCCTATTTTTTATGGTTAATTATAGTTTCTTGATTTTTATTTCTGGTTCCGTTCATGCGTGTGTGTATATATATATATATATATGTATGTATGTATGTATATATATACCATTTAACAAAATAAAATTCTGGTTTCACTCCTACTTGCACTTAGTAAAACTTATCTAATCAAAATCGATTGTTTCAACACAAACTAAAAAAAATGATCTAATCAAAATTTAATTGGAATAAATTAGGTCAGTGGTGAAATTAATGGACATTGCAGATGAAGTAGCCTACTGAATTGCCATTTAACTATTTAAGCATGAGGTATATATTGGGTTTCCTACGTGGCCCGCATTGTGCCAAAAACCGAATGCTAACAACAACTAAAAGCACTTAAATTTGTAGGACTTTAATATTCTCTCTCTCTCTCTCTCTCTCCCTCCCTCTTAAACTGGTTTAGATGCCACTCGGCTAACTTTGAAACACCCGGCTACAATGAACAACGTCCAAATTCCTTTCTATTTTTATTACGAAATCATCCGCCATAATGCTCTTGTCGCATTGCTATTGGCCAAGTTGCATTAATTAATTAATACTGATATTAATTATTAGTAACTTATGATTATCATTGGAATCGGGATTCGAATAGCGGTACACAATCGTTGTAGAGTCGACGATCATAATTGTACAATCATAATATTTGTAATCACTGCGATAACGTCTGTTATGTCCACAATTGCGATCAGAAACGCGATCATAACCGTAATTTAAATCCCTGATTGGAATACTTGGAAGCTTGTATGTGGTCACTGTCATCAAAAGTATACACATATAATAATTGGTGAGTTGAACCTGCACAGGAGCATCTTGAAAGGTATATAAAGGGCAAAACGAGGTGTAGGTTTTGCAGTTGCAGACGACAACTTTGCTTTGCCATCGGCAGCGAACCACAGGTTAGCTTACTTCCTTCCCAAAATTGCTTTATATTACAAAATATGTTTATTCAAATACTTCAAGTTTTAGAATCGCATCATGTGCTGTTAGACGGTTTATTATTTCTTCTGTGATTATCGGGGACTGAATTTGCTTCTCTTTCGTTCCATTTGTACTTCTAGCTACTGTCCATAGAAGAATTTATACTACGCATGTCCATAGAAGGGGTCTGTATTTATTTGTTTATTTTTTAAGGATTTCGTATTTGATTCGTTCAGCGTTCGCGAACATCTTCGTTGTACACTTCATTTTATATGCTTATTTACAAGCTTAGAAAAATTGTAAATTACTTCAGTAGTCCTTAAACTCATTAGACTTTACATTTTGAAGTCCAAAGTTTATCTAGTGTTCAATTTAGTCCCTAAACATTTAAAATGTAAAAAAATAAAAACAAAAGAGAGTCAGATAAACGAGCTTATAAACAAATCGATAAACGAGTTTGCTCGTGAACATAAACGAATCAAATATATATTTGTTTGTGTTCATTCGTTTATTAATGAATATAAAAATTTTGTTTATACTCATTTATTTAGCTTAATAAACAAATCTTATATGGAGTTATGAATCGTTCATCGAATACTATGTTCATTTATACATAATTAAAATTATAAATTAAATTTATTTTTGATATTATTATTATTATTATTATTAGTATTCAATTTATTGATTATACATAAAATTATATATCTTAAATATGTATCAATATTCAACGCCATGTATATTGGGAAAATAATTTTCATTATTTTATCTTTTATTATTTACATAAATTTGTTGGAATCCAATCCCTTGTATTTAAACCATTAATATATTATGATATGATTCATTGATTGATATTATATCAAACATAATTTTTTATTAATCTGAGATAAATACAATGTAATATTTATTTAAAGATAACTCTCAGCCTTTTGACATTGAACGCTCATGCATTTAGCATTCTCGATGCTCGAACCCAGGTTCTCAAGAAATGACAATAATTTCTTTACCACGAAAATCACTTATTCGTATATCAATCACAATTCCTCAATAAAATTAGAGCGATAAAGTATAGTTAGCCTCAAAATTAGTTGGCCTACAAAACCTTTTGGAAACTGATTAGGAAACCTACATTTGCTTTCTCGTGATGTGTTTTTTTCATAGGAAATTATGTTGGAAACTGAGTTGGAATCTATTAACGTGTTCTTTTCCTAGCTAATTATGTACACATTAATTTCGCATTATCTAGACTAGAATTACACAGAACAGGTTTATTCACACAATCAACCCTACTTTTGTTTTTCCCAAAGTAATTTTTCGGTTTCTGTGTCATATATATTTACGTCCGTCGCGTTTTGCATGTCGTCTTCTTTAAACCTTTTTGGTCGGTGATATCTGTTTTTAAAGTATAAAGAGGTTCGACGCTCCTTTAGCTTTTTTTTTCCTCATTCTTTTCCGAACATAAAATGTTTATTTAATACTAAAAAACGATACCATATGGAAGACATGGTTCCAAAATGGATATTTTAGAATTTACAGCCTCTTGCACTGCTGTTTAAGTTATAAGAGTGCACAGCATTGCATGCAGATTAGTAGCTCTACTTATAATATCGGTTGCCGAATACTCGCAGAATACGGTCGACGACGGGTCGAGGCTTAGCTTATAAGAACTCGGAAGTTTCACGGTGGAACCAAAAGCATCACGCCTAGCAGTTCAAACTTGTGGTTGATTGACATTTCCCAGTGGTCACTGATCATATCATGGCTGAGAATGGTTTTGTACACCCATCTGAGAACCAGTGGAGCCGGTGGGGAGTGCCTGTTTTAGTCCTCTTCAAAGATGCAACGTACTTTAGCTTACAGTAGCTGTATTTGCTTTAATGATGGTTTATATTTCATGAGCTGAATTTTGGTTTCATATATTTGTTTTAGCCTTGTTTTCAAATTGGATTCACTTGGCCTGGAGATACTAAGGATCGCATTGCCTGCTGCCTTGGCATTAGCTGCTGATCCCATTGCTTCTCTGATCGACACTGCCTTCATTGGCCGTATAGGTCAGCCCTCATATCCTATATATTCATATGATCTTTGCTTTGATTCCTGGGTGCATGTTGTATTTATGGTTTTCTTGAATGTCCTGTATGTGTAGGACCCGTGGAGCTAGCTGCTGTAGGAGTGTCCATCGCTATATTCAATCAAGCATCAAGGATTACCATTTTCCCGCTCGTTAGCATTACAACTTCTTTTGTAGCTGAAGAAGATACTCTTGCTAAGATTATCCCTGAAGCTGAAAAATGTGAGGATTCTGAAAAGAATGGACCAAACACAAAGAGTTGAAAGAATTGACCGCAGCAGATGATGTAGAGGCTGCCAACTTGGTAAATGGAGCAGGTGCAGCTAGGAATACTGATACGAAAGAGCCGGAGAATGGTATAACTCTCCCTTTCTCTGATATGTTATTTGAGAGTATCATAGAGCATTCAGCTTGTCGTATTCTCTTGTAATAATACAAGTGAACTAGTGATTTATTCGTCAGGTTCCAACACAAGTACAATCAAATCGCCCTGTGTACTTGATACCAAAGCTGAAAATGTTGAAGTGAAAAAGGGGAAAAGGCATATCCCTTCAGTGTCAACTGCATTGATTCTTGGCTCGATGCTCGGTCTCCTTCAAGCTATATGCCTTGTTTTGGGGGCCAAATCTCTCCTGGGTGTTATGGGTGTGAAACATGTAAGTGGCAGCACCAATAATGCTATTAGCTTTCGATCTGTTCACTTTAGTGTTTCTAAGTTATCACCTTATATGCTTGACCAACCAGGATTCCCCAATGTTAAGCCCAGCGCTTAAGTACTTGACTTTGAGATCACTAGGAGCTCCTGCAGTTCTTCTCTCTTTAGCCATGCAAGGTGTTTTCCGAGGATTTAAGGATACAAAAACACCATTATATGCAACAGTTGCAGGAGACCTGACAAATATAGTTTTGGACCCTATATTTATCTTTGTCTTACGACTCGGTGTCAGCGGTGCGGCCATAGCACATATCCTTTCGCAGTAAGTTAACCGTGTCTTCTTTCTCGTTTGACAATCTTATATACCGTCTCTAATGGAAAATGATGGCCGCAGGTATTTGATCTCAGTCATTCTCCTGTGGCGATTGATGAAACAAGTCAGCCTCTTACCCCCAAACATGAAAGACCTGCAATTCGGACGATTTCTTAAGAATGGTAAGGGACTATAGAGTTTAGAGTTCGGTTATTGTTAAAACTTACTTGCCTATGACCCCTATGGTCTGATGCATGATATGACTACAGGTTTTCTTTTATTAGCAAGAGTAATAGCAGTCACATTCTGTGTGACGTTGGCAGCATCAATGGCTGCTCGGCTTGGTTCAACGCCAATGGCCGCATTTCAAATCTGCTTACAGGTCTGGATGACATCATCTCTTCTTGCTGATGGTTTAGCTGTCGCTGGACAGGTACACATACATACATACGTACAGACATACATGAAATTGCTTACATACAAGTGGTTGATTAACCTATCTGTAACGGCCATCATTATAGGCAATTCTGGCAAGTGCATTTGCAGAGAAGGACTACAACAAGGTGACAGCAGCGACGTCTCGTGTAATGCAGATGAGTTTTGTGCTTGGTGCGGGGCTTGCTGTCGTGGTTGGACTCGGTTTGTACTTCGGGTCGGGGATCTTTTCCAAAGATGCCGGTGTTCTTCATCTTATCGCTATCGGAGTCCCGGTAATCGATTCTCGATGCATCCATCCATCCATCAACAAGCTCAAATTCTTGTTTTTGTTTTCAAGATCATATTAGCTGAAGCGTTATGTGTTTGATCAGTTTGTGGCAGCAACACAGCCGATCAACTCGATCGCTTTCGTGTTGGACGGTGTCAACTTTGGAGCATCGGACTTTGCATTCACAGCATACTCCATGGTGTTTGTAGCTGGTGCAAGCATAGCAGCGCTGTTCATTCTCTCAAAAAGCAACGGTTTCATAGGGATATGGGTTGCATTAACCATTTACATGGCTCTCCGCAGCTTAGCCAGTCTTTGGAGGTAAATTCAACACCTTTGATCCTATTCCATTTCCACACATATATTAACAGGGATAGACCGAACAGAGGTAACCGTTCCCACCCTCACAATTTCAAATTACCATGTATTTTCGATATTTTCTTTGTATTTTCTATCCATAATCTATTTTCACTCTTTTTCCTCCGATATAAAATCTTGCTTTCGTTCATATTCACGATTGAAAGTGGTGTTATGTGGTGCAGGATAGGGACTGGAACTGGTCCATGGCGATTCCTAAGAAGTAGATCCATCGCATAGGATGGGGAAAGTACTCCATGGAAAACAGTCTTTGAAAAAGTTCAGTTCTATGCAGCTAATATATATATATATATATGTGCATAGAGATGGTTTGCAGGGTGGTTGTTTGTTTGTTTCCACCTGCTTTATTGATTTCAATTTTGTGAGGGTAGGAATGGATATTGTGTTGTGGATAGTCATGTTTTGTGTAGATGATGATGTACCTAAACATGCAAAAATAAAAATGTGTTGTACCAGTCCGTATATCTGCAACGTAGCTGTTGACCTGTTGTTTCTTTCCACCCATTTTGTTTTTGCTCGTTAAAAAATAAAGTGCTAATGCTCATCAACTTTTACCGCCAAATTAAGTGACGAGAATCATCCCTAAAATTACTGAGGTAATTTAATTCGTGCAAGATTTATATTTCGAGTTATTTTTCATTTATACTAATTAACTTAAATGGAAAAAACGAAAACCAAAATGATAAATTGAAATGAAACACACGATGACATGATATTCAAGATAAGTCGTAATAAACTCGATATGATTTATAGATTATGTTATTCTTAATCAATTTATTTACGATAATCTCTTAAGAATCGAAGCATAGAATCTAAAACTAAAATGACACTTAAATATTCTGAGAAAATAAGGATTTTAACTCAATTATTAAGAGGTCCCTCAAAAATAATTTTTATGAAGAAACGTAGTCTGCAGAGATTTATGGTTTACAATCACTGCCAAATAATTTGAGCAACTTATGCCCATCCAAGTTTTTAGTTTTGCATTTAGCCCTTTTTGTTTGATATATATTAATTATATAAAAATAATTATCAAATAATAAAACATTAACGTGTATTACACATGCAGCACACGTGTAGAAAAAAGAAATCTAATTATTAATAAACACTTAAATCAAATATTTATTAATAATAAATAGTAATTGTCAAATATTAAAATTCATAGTTTTATTTTTTTTTATTTAATCAGAATGTTTTTTTAAATCATCAGCACATTTTCGAAAAGCTTAATAAACCAAACGTGTTAAATATAATTTTCCATCCAATATATACCAAACAGTGTATAGTAACTTTTTCAATAATCACACGCTTTGAAATTTTGTTTTCGTCCGGAATTTGGTTTTTTTTTCGGTTGTCTAAATAAAAAAAATCTTCAATTCTTTTTCAGATACACCAAAAATAGAAATACCACGCAAAGGATTTCAGGAAAAAAAAATATCATTAAAGAAAAAAGGAGATATCAACCTTATACCCTGTGCACATGACGTTACACAAAATTACAACTAAACAAACCTTCGGCATTTGCAGCTTGGTACCACCAAAACAAACCTACACTCCCGGTTGTCCGTCTTAACAGTTTATTCCACACTCTTGTACATCCGGCCCGGTAACTCTTGTTGTGAAGGGATCGATACGCACCCACAACAAAGAGAAAATGGAGGCAAGCAGAATCGACCATACGACAACGATGGTGGGCGTCCGGTTTTGGCGTCCCATCAAACCTTTCAAGAAGGGGTAGAGATGGATGATCACCCAGAAGGCAAAGAATAGCTTACCAAAGAGGGGACCCCATGATTGGTAGCCACTATTGATGGCATACGAGATTCCTGCAACCACTCCCACCAAGTTTATAATGAGAAGAGTGGTTGGTGGGATGAGAAGGGTTGTCCATTTGAACATATAAAGTTCGGCAAAATCCCCATCTTCATCCGATGCTTTTGAAGTGACCGTGAAGTTGGTGTCGATGCCGGCTAGAACCTTGAGAAGCCCTTGGAAAACAGCAAAAAGATGTGCCGACACACCACCAATAACCCAAAATTGTTCATTTCTCCACCACTCATCAATTCCCACCCCGCTCCACCTCATTTCTAAAATACCAGTTGCAAAGATGGAAAGAAAGAGGGATATAAACCATATACTCGCAATGTTACTAATCTGCAGTCACAGCAAACCAAGCAAAATAATTAAGAGCATATAATGCAATAATCTCTGTCTCAACAAAACGAGAAATAAATAAAGTGACGTCGATTAGGTATAGTAATTCCGGATAGACTAACCTGTGGGATAATGAACTTGTTAGTGAGCAGACAGACGGCTGGCAGTGTGCAGTACATGAGAAGTGGAATAGCAGTAATTGGGTAGATGGTAGTGTTAACATATGCAAACCGTTCAAGCCACTTGAGCCTACCCTTATAACCATACCAGATGGGGCAATGCCTACTGAAAAGAATTTCCACGGAACCAAGAGCCCACCGAAGCACTTGGTTCAGACGATCTGAAAGATTAATAGGAGCAGATCCTTTAAAAGCTGGGCGTTTTGGCATGCAGTAAATTGATCGCCAACCACGGGCATGCATTTTGAATCCAGTAAGAATATCTTCCGTAACAGAACCATAGATCCACCCAATCTGCAGGAAAAAGAAAGCAAGGAAATTTAACTCAATTATGGCAGATGAAAGGGAGGGGAAATGCACATTAGATAAGAGATCATCCAGCACAAGTGACAAAAAAAGAAATTTAAACGGAATAAAAGCAAGAATTTTGCAGCAAAAGCTATGGGTTCCATGCAATTCAAACATACGTAGAAGTCCTGATGCAGTTTATACTATAATTTTTTTCATCCTCTAACACCCAAAAAGAAACAATTTTACATCTTCAGAATATTGCTAACAAAATTCAAGTCATGAATTTCACTAATCAATTTTACACGTAGTGGAGTCGGAGATTTTATGGACGTAGAGCAATAAAACATTTCAGGGTTCAGAGAAAAACATGGTAGGAACAGCCAGCCACATACCTCGCTTCCCCAGTCTGTTTTGTCCTCATATCCACAACTGATAACATGAATTGCTTCCTTAAGAAGTGTTTCGGGAGTAGCAGACTGAGGAACACCACCATTCTCCATAAGTGTAGAGGCAACAAAAACAGCAGACTGACCGAAACGTTTCTCCAGGCTCATTTGCGACATTAGCAGTGATTTTTCATCATCAAACCCAGCCCCTGATTTTAAAAATGCACAATGGAGGTCTTAGAAGGAGCTTTTCTTCATTTGACCAAATGATATTGAGAATAATGACCGTTACGCTCAAAAGACAAGAAAGTAAATAGTTACCTTCAACACCCTCTTCTATATCCTCTAGATTGTATATTGGTACGGTAGAATCAACATGTTTGCCAGATTTCTTCTTGTCTGATCCCTTTTTACTTGATTTTGAACTCTTCTTACGATAACCTCCACAAAGCGAAGATAGCAAACCTGCTTTTTTATGCTTGGGCTTAAGGGGAGGTTCATATCCATACAATGCTGTTCTATTGAAGACGCATCCCGTACCAACGTAAACAGGCCCTTGTATGCCATCCAGGCCCCTCAAGTTTATCTGTAATTTCACAAAAAAATTAGATGATGTCTCTAGGATTTCAATAGCCAGTATGTTCGATGAAAACTAACTCAAGCTAATCACTCTACATCAGCAATAACATCATTCACAAGATGCAATTATTTTTCTTGGTACAAGATATGGAGCTTACATCAAAGAAAACAGTATTTCTGTTAGCATATCGATCGTTCCTGTCAATACCATCAAACCTTTGTGGAAATTGAACATAACAAACTTGCTTCCCAAGGTTTGGATCCATCAGAAAACACATAGATTCCCTTAAGGCCTTGCTATTATTTATGTAGTGATCACAATCAAGATTCAACATGAAAGGTCCATTAGTAAGAACAGCTGACACTCGAACCTGAAAGAAAGGTTCATTGACAGCTATGTTAGATAAGATTATATCAATGACAGCTAACACATGAACCTGAAAGAAAGGTTCATTGACAGCTATGTTAGATAATATAAATATCAATGAGTACTGCAAAATAACAGATTTAAAAAGCAACTTACAAGTGCATTCATAGCACCAGCTTTTTTGTGGTGTTGGAAACCTGGACGCTTTTCACGAGAAACATAAACTAACCTTGGCAGCTCATTGCCATCAGCATCAAGGCCCCCACTCTGACCTAAGAAAACCTGCATGTTTTACAAAGCCTCTTAGTAACATTAATAATGTGTAAAATACTTATAGCTAAGGCAACTCACTAATCCTCTTTCAAAATAATGAAAATAATGAACAGGATGATCACATAATATGCATGAAAATATAATGGCCTAACTCAAGCAGATTTGTTCTCGTCTCATGTGTTAATATTAACTTCCTTATCTGCGATTGAAAGGAAACATATAATCCCACTTGTTAAGTTTTTCCAGTCCAATATGTGTATAGAATTTCATATAATCTAGAAATTCAGGAACAAAGGCCATCCTGCTCAAAAAAGATAAATGAGTAGGCATATCTATGAATGCAAAAAAACAGGTCCTACCTGGATCATTCCTGGATGGTCTCTGGTGTTATTACCAGGCCATGGTGTACCATCCTGCATAATCCATCCTTCTTCAGGAACTTTCTGTGCCTTTGAAACAAGCCCATTAACTCTAACTTTAAATTCTTCATATTCTCTCTGCAATAGAAGCAAAGAAGTGAGCATGATAAAAAATTGAATACATAGCAGTATTGCAACCAAGGATCTTCAAGCTAACCCTTACCTTCATAGCTCTACGATCTTTAACAAATGATGTTTGAACTTTATCTTTCAGGTAATCAATCTTCTGTGCAAAATACCATTCTGGAGCCCGAGGCTCAATGTTATACTTCTTGCAGAAAGGTACCCATTTCCTAGCGAACTCTGATGTCTCAGACAATGCTTCAAATGTTAACATAGCAGCACCATCATCAGAAACATAGCAGGAGACCTTGTCGACTGGGTAGTCAACAGCAAGAATGGATAGCACAGTGTTCGCTGTCACAAGTGGAGGCTCCTTTAATGGATCGACGGTACTCACAAAAATGTCAACAGCAGCTAATTCTGATGGTTCCCCTTCACGATCGTATCTGTTATACAGCCAGGGAATTGAAATGATAAAGCAAGACTAAATACATTCTAAAATAACACAACTGCTTAAAATATATTTGCGTGGATTCATGAGATTGACAGGAAGAAATGCCTTACCTCAAGGCAAGTCTATCGAGATAGGTTTCACGGTTAACAGGAAGCCACTTAGGAAACTGATCCAGTATCCACGATATTGCAAACCAAATCTCACA